AGTCCCCTGCAAGTTTATAAGTAGACTGCATTTCAGAGTATTGTATCTATCCTAGAGGGTGGTGCGCCTGAATAATAGGGTGCGCTTCATACTACCCAGTGTATAAAGCGCATACTCAGTCGATAGGTGATAACCGCACCGTTCAAGGGTCTCAAAGAATCAGTAACGGCTGTATATTTGTATATTTTACTCTGTATTTTGGCTATCTTACAAGAGAGTGTGTTCTGGGCCTTTGTTCTTAGTCTAACAAGGGTGCGTTTCAGACATTAAACGTCCAACCCGACACGTTCAAGTACCTACATTAACCACCAACCCAGCAGGTTGTCAGGCTACCACCAAGAATCCAAAGGGATTCACAAGGGCCAAACGTCGACTCTGAAACGTTCGCGTTCTAGGGTTTTTGACCCCAGTTCGAGAGCGTTTATCAATTCTCTGGACCCCCTGGGCTACGCACTTTGGTGCCCTAGATTTCACTGTGGTTGGTTAAGTCAGTAGAAAGTGAGTGTACTCGGTTGTAGTTAACCGCTGAATAGTAGTCTATGACGGGACCAAAAAAACGCGCAGAAGAAGGCGGGACGCGGAGACGGCGGACGAGAAGATGAAGGTCTGCGCCGGTCGTGTCGGATGCGGAAACTGATGCCATTGGAGTACAAGGACCTAGACATCGTTGTCCGGGAATCATGTGCGACGAAAAAGGCAGCCCAAGATGTGGAGAGAGCTGTGTCTGAACCTGCTGCCAGGGACGCCCAAGCGTTGTCCAGTGTGGTAAGTCTGGAAGCACCGCTCTCAGAGTCTGGAACGACTCGTGTCGAAGGCGAGCCGGCTCGGGATGAGTCGGCTCAGGCGTCTGTGGGAGGCGCCGATGTGGTTGAGTCCCCGGTTGAAGAGGAGACTCCGGCACCGGGTCAAGATGTGGATGTGGTGCTGGTCGAGGAGAAAGCGCCACCTGTTGTGAAGGCAGTGCCGAAAGTTCAGGACCTGACGACCGATGCCTCACGTTCCGGTTTGGAATCGAAGAAGATCGTTCGACGAACTGTCGTGCGTGTGAAGTCGGAAGCAACGTCGGTTCCCGGAGCGACAGAACACCGATCACCAGCACAAGTGACCTCTGGACCGGTTGTCCAGCCAAGCGGACGCGTTAGCGAAGGCGTATGTTGCGCGCCAAGCGCATCGCTGGGAGTCAGTTCCCTCTGGACGAGCGTTTCCGCCACAAGTGGCGTACACGTGGTCTGAAGTGCCAGACGACGTATCGTGGTTTGAGGTGGCCAATGCGATTTCCGACTTCGTACTCCAGCAAACTTGGCTGGATGATGAGGACGAAGCTTAGATCTCTGAGTTACACACAGAACGCAGTGGATTTCGGACGCGTCCAAGACCTGGCAGCAATCCAAGTCCCGGTCACCTTGCTCGAAGCCCGCCAGTGTGCGGCTGTGCTTCAGACATTTTTCTTCGAAGCAGGTTTCCAGTTCAACAATATCGTCCCGGAATGATTTCGGACCCACGCTGAGAACGTCGGCCCGGACCAGATTCGCTTCGTGACGGCGACTATCCGGTGCTTGTTTGCTGTGGAATTCATCTAGTGGAAGAAACTCACAGTGGATGTTTTTTGCGAGGTGATGCCATGTCCAGAACTGCAGCCAACTGTTCCGAAATCGGAAGCTCAAGGCGACTCGCCGATGACAGATGCGGAAGCCAGTCTTCTGGGACAGAGTTTGCGTTGCGCTTCCGGGTGACCGGAGTACGATCTGCGAGGGGCTTTGTGGCATCATCGTCAGATGGCAAGCCGGAAGTCAAGCGACCCCATAACGCTCCGTCGACCCCAATGCCCAGCGTCTCCACGACTCCTTCACTCTCCCGACACCATAATCTCGGAATTCGAGTTTGGATGCGTCCGTCGGGCGCCTGCAGATTGAAGACTCTGGTTCGAGTGGAATCTCTGATTCTATGCCTAGCGTGGTCTGGATCTTCAGAGAGCTATTCACATGGGACTACGTCCGGAACGCAGGATTCTTCTAGGGAAAGCTATGCGTCGTCGATGTTGTCGGTTGGGGAGTTACCTGCATACGCTGGAGCGAACGTAGCCATGAGCGTTCAAGCCGAAGAAGTTCAGAATGTGGAGGGTAGCATGGGCATGCATTTGTCTCGCATTGTTATCCCTGAATTCTCAAAAACGGTGGACCAGGATGACGTCGCCATGGCGAAAGCAGACGGCCCCCTGGCTTCAGGGACAGGCGTGATCTCGAGTTGAAGGCCTTCGGCGAGAATGGGACGCGCGGCCAGACGTCACCAACGCGACGAGTCACTGAATGACTCTGAGACGTCGCGTGACACCCGACACGCGTCATCCAATTCCAGAGACAACACGCTACCACGGTCTTCAGCGAGTGGTTTCAGAACGAGGGGGACAAGTAGGTCAAGCCGCGCATCCTCATCCAGGTGGTCGAGCCCTTCTTCGTCTGGATCCGGGGCCACTCAAGTCGCTATGAACGTCCTGCACCAGAGTCAAGACGGCCTCGCCCGGATGGGCATGGAGCAGGACCGAAGCCTTGCAACGCTGGAGGAAACGCATGAGTCCGGCAACACCATGCCCAACTCGATGCACGTCTAGCCGTCTATTGCCAGCTCCAGAACGCGATCCACGCGGTAGAAGCTTTGGACGGACGCCTAGCGGGCATGGAGAGTCAACGACAGCGCGCGGAGACGACATTTCAGGAGACAGCAGCACAGGTGAACGTCGAAGAGCAGTCACGTGCATACCCGGACACCGAACGGACTCAATCCTGCGTCGGGAAAGAGGTCGAGGAGGTCACACGTCGTGACCGCAATCGGTTCCAGGCCGAATACGATCAGCGTTGGCAGCAGCACATGGCAAAAGTTGATGAAGAGCGCGCGCTGGACGGTGGAGGCGGCAAAAGCCCCGACCGTGAAGCAAGAGGCGCTTGCAGCAGAGCGCGCGAGCCTCCAGCAACTGAAGAACACGGAAGAACACCGAAGAATCCGGGAAACATCCGAAACGCAATGTCTCCAGCAGCAGTTTCAAGATCTTCGTGCAACAATGGCGGCTCTGCTTCACTCTGATGCAACAACTGACTCCAAGTAGTTACATCGGGTCCGGGCCAGAGATATGGAAGATCATGATTCGGAGGACTCGTATGAAGTTGTACCTGTGTGGGGGGCGATCAACGATCGGCGAACAAAGATACTCCTAGACGCGGGTGCTTCGGTTAATATTGTGAGTCCGGACCTAGCGCGTAGGCTCAGCCTTAAAATCCGAACGCATCGACAGATCAAAATGTCTGACCTGGGAGGAATCCAGATGTAAATCTCCGCACATGCTCGCGTCAAGATCACCCTTGGTTGGGAAGTGATTTAACTTCAGGACGTCTGGATCGGAAATATCGGTGAAGGTGTTAACGTATTGCTAGGTATGAACTTCATGTATTCGGCTGGAGTTAGATTGTGCGTCCGGGAAGGAGTAGTCAAGCTACCGGACGAGGAGAACGTCGTGATGTATGGCGACGTCCCGTGGCGGTTTAGAACTGCCGGTATGTGCGAAGAAGAGCCTGTATTTACGTCCAGGCGAAGCTGCGGTAGTCCAGTTTGAATATGGACAGACCAACCCGCAGCGAGAAGTGGTCTGGGCCGGACGAGGAAAATGAGGGGTGACTGAGATCCTGTTTAAGGCCCGGCCGTGGGCTACGGCAGTCCGAGTGGTTAACGTTTCAGACAGAAATGTCTGGATCGACTCTCGGACTGCACTTGCTTGGATTGTGGTGTATGGACACTTCCCGAAGGAGCCAGGATTCGTCCGCCCAGGGAAGACTAGGTGTAAGGAGTGGCACCTGCTTATTCTCAAGGGCACCGAATCGCGTCAGGGTCGGATGCGTGTCGAACACCTAGAGCAGTTGATGCGACTATGGGATCCTTCCGGGGTGTCACGACCGAAACTTCTTGTACGCCCAAAATCTCAGGATGCTGAGGTTCGGATAATGCAGCTGCAAGAACGGCTGGAAGTTGTGGAAGTTTTCCTCGCTGCTCGATGTGCTACCATCCCAAAGACAGAGGCAAATACCTTAGGTGTGGAAGATCTGGCAGACGATTCTATGAAGACATTCGCCGAGGAGACTGGAGAAGTGGATACCAGAGATGTTGGTACCCAAGTCAACTTCCCAAGATCTTGCGGATGCGGCGTTTGAGACCGGTGTGGCTATGTCCCTGACAAACTGGTTAGGCTGAAGCTCGATGCGTAAGCTCAGAGACGTCTACGACTGGGGCGACCGCGGAAAGCCCAGCGGACTCAGAGTGACCCCGGAGCGTCGAAGGCTTCGAAGGCGATCCAGCCACCTCCTCGGGGCCAGAGGATCCAGAACATCAACCGCCAACAAGGCCGGTGTATTTCGCCTCGGAAACGAACGATGCTTTAGGGTTCGTTCCAGAATTCTAGTCGAACGATGTGCTAGACGGCGTCCTCGAATAGCCTTGGACGATTTCTCAGACCCCGTGGATGACGCCCAGACCTCTCGGACACTCCTGTCCAAAGACTTGAACGAGAATACGAACGTGTCATGCGAGTGACAATGGAAGAATTGGATTTAGAACCAGCCGTCTGCTTGCGAGAAGGGCCTGAGCTTCTGGCTCAGTTGAGTGATCACTTGACTATGTTTCCAGAGTTAAAAGAATTGATCCCGGAGTGTGACATCGCCAAAACTGATGTCGGCGTCCCAGGCATCACGACCCCAGAGATGGAGGACAAGATGCGGAAGATCCTGAGTTATCATCATCCATTTTTTGGGTGATGGTAATGCAGCACCGGCCCCGGCTCGCGGAGTCATTTGTGATCTAGACGTGGGCGATGCGATGCCGATAGCACTGCGCGCTAGACAGATCGCCTCCGGGTATTTGGTGAAGGTTTACGAACAGCTGAAGAAGCTCCTAGAGACCGGGCTCATTGAACGCTCTGAATCGGAATGGTCATCCGCGATTGTGATCATTTTGAAGAAGAATGGAGAAAATATCAAAATGTGTGTTGATTATCGGCTAGTTAACCAGTTGATCAAACTATCACGACACCCCCTACCTCCGATTAACGACCTACTGAATGATTTTAATACCGCGGCATGGTTCATGAGTCTAGACATGGCGAACGGTTTCTGGGCGATTCAAACGACTGAGCGGGTGAAGTTGATATCGGCCTTTGTTTGCCCATTCGGACACTTCCAGTGGCTCCGGATGCCTTTTGGACTCAAGAACGCGCCGTTAGCGTATCAGGGTGTAATTAATAATTGTCCCTGGGGATTCTTGCGGCTCCCACCTGAGGAAGAGGCCAAGGTCGATCGGGAAGTCTTGGAATTTCTGAATTTGTCTGCCCCAGACACCGAGCCGACGATCGGGAACCCTCGTGACGAAGGTAGTTTCAGACTTCCGGAGCTGACGAATGAGGCGACAGCATTCACGCGGAATATTCCGACACCGGCGTAGATGGGACCGAAGCTCCTACATAGATGATATAGCTCATGGGGCCCTACCTGGGATCAACTCTGTGAGGGTCTGAATGCTCTATTGTTCCGACTCCGATATTGGAATATTTCGGTCGGTCTCCTGAAAAGTGGGTTCGGTAAGCAGGCTATACTGTATCTGTTCCACGAAGTCTGTGCCGAAGGCATTAGATCTACTCCGAAGATTGCCAAGAGCGTTCAAGACCTACCATTCACATCGACTCTGAAGGGCGTTCAATCGTTCCTCGGAAGTCTGAACTACTACACCAAGTTTGTTGAGGATTTACCTGTTGTTGCGCCTGTGCTTTACGAGTTGGATGAGGCCGTGTTCGCACCGGACGCAATTTGGATAGAGCCAAGGATGCGTTCGAAACACTGAAACGTAAAAATACATCTACTCCGCTGCTGCGCCATCCAGGCTGTACCAAGCCGTTTGTCATCATCTCACATGCAACTCCCTGGGCGGCATGCACTGTCCTGGGTCAGGAACACGGTGGGATCATCCAACCAGTGCGTGTGACAGGGTGGGTTCTGAATGAGTCCGAACCCCAACACCACATCGCAGAGAAGGAGGTGTTAGCGATCCTGCAAGTTCTAGAACAGTTTCGCCTGCTCATCTATGGTTCGGGGATACGGATTGTGATAGTCACTTGGTACTCGGTCCTGAGGTGGCTACTGAAGTCAAACCCCGACGTCAGCCGTCATCTGAAATGGGGTCTGGAATTGTCGCAGTAGATTCTGGAACTACGCCGCGTGTAGCGCGATGAAGACATAATGGCTACCATCCTCGGTGCGGGCATTACTCCCAGAGAACGCTTAGACAAAGTTGCTGAAAATTTGATCCCAGCCAAGAGGCGAATCAAACCGCCTGTAGAAATGCTAGATTCAGACTTCGAAGGATACGTTCTGAGTTTCGATGGTACAGCCAAAGTCTCCACCCGACAGGGAAGTCGTGGATGTATTCCGTGGCGTTTACCCGGTTGGCACGTCCTGACTGCCCATGGATTCCCTCTGGACGACGTGACGGTGAACGACACAGAGTATCACGGGTTAATCAAAGAGTTGGAACTAGCCGTTGGTCGCGGTTTCAGAGATGTATATAATGACGATATTTGTGATATGAGTCAGATCACATTGTGATAGAGTGCTTTGATTGGCCAGATCTGATACCGTTGGAGTGCACTACACACGTATTGAGTTTTGCTGCTATTCATGCTTTATGCTCCTGCAATTTACAATAGTTAGCTGATATTCATGCCCTACGCTGCTGTGATTTACGATAATCGCATAGCCGATTGTATAGTGTGCCACAAGACAATTCCTCAGCCCTTGTAGGTATCTTTTGTATATTTGCTTCGGCATCTTCTTCTGAATGACGTTAAAGACTTGGTCGGCAGCAGTAATAGGTAGGTCAGAGATTTGTGCTACTCCAACTGGTAAGACATTAGCTTCTGAGCAAGTTGCTCCAAGTACGTCATAACAATACTAGTGCGAGAGTGCCGCCTTTGGTGAGTTGGTTGTATATCATGCTGTTTGTTAAGTTGTTTATATGGATAAATTCGTGCGTCTTTATTCCGAAAAAACCACAAGTTCCACATGGTTTTCACGTTTGTGGGCGTAGGAACCTCCCAACCCTTCGGTACCGCATGACATATTTCTCCATCTTGCCATGACCGTGTGCCTCCGCTCTTGCTATCATTCTCAGTCTGATGAGCGACAACAGCGTTGTTCGAAGATTGAATTTGACTTAGAGTATCACGAAATTCAGTCATCACACTAGTCCGTAGGTTAGCAATTCTTGTGTCAAGGTCATACAGTGATATTGGAGCTACTCCATTAATCCCAAAATGTTGTCGCAACTTGCTAACAACTGTTGCTGCAAGCTGAATCGGGAGCTTTGATGCAACTTCTGTCTCCAGGTTCCTCAATTCATCGCGGAAACCTGCAAGCTCTTCTCGTAAATCACTCACTTGCTTAGCTAGAGCGAGGTGCGCTGGTATCCCTGTTGCCTTCAAACCACACACAGGCGATACACCGATAGCTAGTACAGTAGCGCCACGCTGGATATCAAGCAGCGAGTTAATTAAGCCAAGCTGTCATAATGCTCACCTTGGATTGATAGGTGTAGTTTTTGTCCGCTTGGACTGAAGCGACTTTGCCACGACAGCTCCATCTGTTAAGTCTTCAGCGTCTCTCTTCTTGCCGCGCGCCATTTTCGTTCTGAAAACACACCAAAGGTCGTACAAAGTTGTGTGATAAGATCACTATCACAGATGCCGTGAATCTGCCACATTAAGTTCGCGCCATAGTGAGCCCAAGTATATTTCCACTAGGTTCGCATGCATTTACGGCATTTACGATATTCTGGTATCACACCTCACTATGGGGAGATCATTGTAGTATCACAGATGCAGCAGATGTGGTCGTTGTCGGAGATTCCACGATTGTCATCCAACAAGCGGAAGGCCTGATAGGTTACCACCAGCCTAATCTACAACGTCGCCTCGCCGAGTACGCAACGTTAAAGACGAAATTTGACTCTGTGCGTCTGGTCCACGTCAAACGAGACTATAACCAGGCCGAAGACTACTTGACGACGATGACGTTGGTGCTCGGAAAAGCGTGAGTGGTGAAGGATGCTGATGAGCTGATGCACCTGAAGATTGTATAAGGATCCCGGAGATGATTATGAAGCCTCCGAAATCCCCGGAACGGAAGGACGACGCAAGTCAGGCCCCAAGAGCGACAATCCAAATGATTCTGTTTCGGGCCCTATCCCGAGCATGCCTGGGACAACGGCACACGTGAGGATCGCTACGACCCGAAGTCGTTCCAGACAAGTCTTCACTTGACTACCGAGACGAACGGTGGAGACGCATTAAGATCCACCAGGACGAGGATCCAGAGTTAAAGAGGCTCAAGGATTATTTGAGGGGTGATTTGGTGGAATATACGCGGAAGAAAGTCAAGAAGGTCGCGAAGGGTTCAGACCGCTACCATGCAATGTTCTTTATCGTTTGGTCATGTCTACTCCGGAACGCCCCAGGGACAAGTGTTCTGAACTTCGCCTAGTTGTACCAGAAGCCTTGCGGCCCAACATCCTACATCACGTTCACGAAGATTTCCAGTGTGGCCACCAAGGCATCACCAGAACATGTGAGCGTCTGCGAACAGAATTTTTCTGGACCGGGATGTTCCAGGATGCTAAGCTGTTTGTCAAAGAATGTATGGATTGCGCTTCTGCCTAGGGGTGACCTCCAAATCCAGGACCCTCGCCCGGAAACATTGAACCAACCAGTCCGTTCAAAGTAGTGTCCATGAACTTTGTCACACACCTTCCGAAATCCGAACGTGGGAATACCTTCCTACGCTTGTTTCAAGACATGTTCACGGGTTTCGTTTTGTGCAAACCCATGAGCAGTACCACTGCCCAGGATTGCGCCGAAGCTTATGCGGTAGTTGTGTTCAGAAACTATGGCGCAAGTTCTGAGATTCGTCACGCCAGAAACTCCAGGTTCATGAGTCGTGTGTTCCGTCGTTTCAGCGAGATGATGGGTATTCAGCAGAAGACAACACTCGCGTATCGCGCTCAGGCCAATGCCCAGCAGGAACGGTCGGGTCAGACAATTATGCATAGTATCAGGGCGTATGTTGAAGAACCCGACCAGACTGACTGGGACGGCCACGCGAAGAAGCTTATGCATGACTTGAATACCTCCCGATTGGATACACCGTTCTATCTATTGCACGGGTTCGCCTGTCGGAGTACTATATCCGTCATGCTGGGTCCGAAACCAACCGATGTTGTGGAGCGTACCGCGTACGAATGGCGCAGAAAACGGCATCGAGACTACAGCTACGCCCACGCATGTGCGGAAGAACTCCAGAGGAACGCCAAGCGTACGAGGTCTGCGTTTCAGACTCAGAAGTGGAAGGCGTTATCAGATCACCTCAAGTCGGGTTTGGCTATAGATTCCGAAGGTCGTGCCGGGTCTGAGTCGAAAATGATCCACTTGTGGCACGGACCGTTCAGGATTGAGCAGATTCGGGATGATTTTAAAGTGAAGCTGAAGGTTCAGGGCACGGGCTGCCGTGTAGGGCCGTGGTTCACATTAGTCGTCTGAAACCACGTGCCTTGTTTCCGAAACGACCGTCTTCAAAGGCGGACGTTTCAGAGGATGATGACTTTGATGCGGCCTTATTGCCGGATGATAGTTGGGAACCAGACTCGGTACACCATGAGTATGAAGTGGAAATAATTGAGGATCTGACATGGACTAAGTGCACTCGGAATGCTAAACGCATCCGCGAATATCTCATCAAATGGAAGGGCTATGGTGAACTTCAGTGATTACCAGTCTCACAACCGAACTACGGCTCGCGTTTGTACAAGTTCACCCGATCAGCACGTGCAAAGGCCTATTTCGCGGCTATGCAGTCTGGGAATGACGACTACGGGGAGCTATATGTTCCAACCCAGAGAATTTGGGTCTGGTTCCAGCGTTTTTAGGCCTCGTTTCGGAGGTTACGCCTGTTGTAGGAATGACGGAGTGGCCGTGTGCGAATATTTGACTATGTAAGGTGGGTTCAGAGTTTGGTACGAAGGATGTGTATGAAATGGAAACCTTCCGGTCAGTCTGTTCCGTGTTGGTATGATTTTGACAGGGACACAATGAGGATACGAATCTATTATATGGAAAGGATGGAAATGAAATTAAACCGCAGTGAGACATCAAGACTTGATTATTGAATTCAGTTGATACGTTATTATAGGCATGGGCACTGAAGGCCGGGTTTAGAATGCACTAGGCGGTCTCGAATCAGACACTCAGTCGGCGTTAGAGCCACCCTTCTCTCCGTGAGTTGACGTAGCTACTTGGGCAAAACGGAACTGGTATAACACCTACGTGGTCCTCGGTTTTGAAGTGAAAGGGGGCCCTGGAACCGGCAGCAAGTTTCTGGCTCACTCGATCTTCGGGAGCAGACGCTTAGATACGAACGCCTCCGGTACCAGTGTAGTATGTACCACCACCCTTCTGCATGTTCCTCCATGGACGCCAAGTACTCCTTGATCCCACCCAGAACTCCTTTTCTCCAGTCACGGACGCGGTGGAAGTAGAACTCTTTGGAACGTTCCTCAAACATCTAGACCCAGGGGAGTACAAAGACCAGAACCTTTGACTCCCACGAACTTGGATGTGAACCAGAACCGTAAGCGCTTATCTCAGACGAGTTGCGCCCAGACGTGGTCCCGCGGTGCCCCTTGGCTCCAGACTCTTCACACGACGCCCAGGAATTCATCCCATACCTCAAATGACCACCGGTCTTTGAGATACTTAGTGTCGTGCTTGTGTGGCTCGTAGTCTGGAAAGCCAAGAGTCTGGATCTTGTCGGATAATTTCATCTTGATTCCGAAGACCCGGAATGTGCTGATAACGTCCCGGTCGCAGACCTCGATGATCATGAGCTCGTCCTCGCTCAGGGTCTCGAAATCGCGAAGAGCTAGGTCCGCGGGATGGCGTGCCCCTATGACGCGACCGGTATTCGTCTTGGCCCTCTTGATCAATTTGGTGTCCGGGGTTCTGGTTGCTGTCTTATAATTCTTGGCAGAGGACGGATAAGTGTGTTGTGTTCCAGAGCTCACTTGGCCTGTGATCTTGGGACCAGCACCATTCGTGCTCGCGGATACTTTGTCCGTATCATCGGCTAAAGCTTCAGTCTCGTCTGAGCCTCCA